GTCACAGGAGCCTAAAACAGGTAGGCATTAGAGCAAGGTGGATATATAGGTGATTCAATATAGGAAGCACTTTCCCATCCCTAGACCTATATGCCCATGGTAGTAATGCAATTTACTACTGGATCATAAAGCACAATGCAAGAAGGATTCTTGGTCAGGATAAGAGCTTAGGACTTGAATGGCTTCTCAGGTCCCACATCTGGCTCTTAAATTTTAAGATTTGGAGATTGAATGGTAAGAGTATTAATGTATTGATTCCATAACAGAGATTATATACACACAGAAGAGACTGAACTTTACATACTTGCACTTCAATCAAAATTAGCTTGAGACATACCCACTCAACATGTACCCCACCTTTTCGCATTTTTCACTGAGTTAAAGTAAAATAAAAACCAAATCCTTCATGTTTCTCTTAGTAACTTAGTATTTATTGGGTTGGCCAAAAAGTTCATTTGGGATTTTTTGTAAGATGATATGAAAAAACCCAAACAAACTTTTTGGCCAACCCAATACATGTGTAGCCACAGGTGCCAGTTTATTCTGAGGTTAAGAGAACCAACAAAATATATTTCATGATGAAAGCAGACACTTAGGAGAACCTTTGGAACAGTGGCACCAAGTCAGGCTATAAATATGACAAGGAGATAATTAATTCAACCATTTCCTCTTAAATTCACAATATCTGCCCACCACTGCCGCTACTATGGAATCTTGATGCAGAAAAAGTGGTGATTTGGTGTCATGTAAGACCTGGAAAACCCCATGGACAGAGGAGCCTGGTAGGCTGCAGTCCATGGTGTCGCGAAGAGTCGGACACGACTGAGCGACTTCACTTTCACTTTTCACTTTTATGCATTGGAGAAGGAAATGGCAACCCACTCCAGTGTTCTTGCCTGGAGAATCCCAGGGATAGGGTCACACAGAGTCAGACACGACTGAAGTGACTTAGCAAGGCCTTGTGCCCAGTGTCTATCATTCCTTCTTCCAGATATATTATATACTCGTGTTCAACCTGTTTGCTTTTTTTGTTGTTGTTCACTTTCTTATAAGGATAACTTATATGAACTATATCAGCAGGGCTGCCACAGCCTCTGGCTTCAAGTAGGCAGAAGCCCAGAGAAGAAGAAGGGGAAAGTGTGGGTATGTAATCTCTTAGCTCTCTCTGTGAAAGCTCCTCCACTAAAGATCTCTGCATTCTTAAAAAGACTTGTTTTATATGACCTGCTGCTGGCCTTAGGTTCTTGCTCTAGTCCTTGGAGTGTACCTATACCCAGATCATACCTTTACAATTAGTCCCTTTGCAAACGTACTCTCCTCAAAAAGTCTTAATTGAAATTCCCCATCTGTTTTCTTTAGGATCCTGACTGATACACATCTCAGGTTTCAACAAATTACAGTCAGACCAGGATAATTGTTGTTCAGTCATGTCTGACTCTTCGTGATTCTATGGACTGCAGCACACCGGGCTTCCCTGTCCTTCACTATCTCCCAGAGCATGCTCAAACTCATGTCCATTGAGTCGGTGATGCCATCCAACCATCTGTCGCCCCCTTCTCCTCCTGCCTTCAATCTTTCCCAGCATCAGGGTCTTTTCCAATGAGTCAGTTCTTTATATCAGGTGGCCAAAGTATTGGAGCTTCAGCATCAGCCCTTCCAATGAATATTCAGGGTTTATTTCCTTAAGGATTCACTGGTTTGATCTCTTTGCAGTCCAAGGGACTCCCAAGAGTCTTCTCCAGCACCACAGTTCAAAGGCATCAATTCTTTGGTGCTCAACCTTTTTTATTGTCCAGCTCTCACAACCATACATGACTACTGGAAAATCCATAGCTTTGACTATACGGACCTTTGTCAGCAGAGTAATGTCTCTGCTTTTTAACATACTATCTAGGTTTGTCATTGCTTTTCTTCCAAGAAGCAATCATCTAACTTCATGACTGCAGTTACCATCCACAGTGATTTTAGAGTCCAAGAAANAACCCCCAAAAACAAAGTCTGTCACTGCTTCCATTGTTTCCCCTTCTATTTGCCACGACGTGATGGGACCAGATGCCATAATCTTCATTTTTTGAATGTTGAGTTTTAAGCCAGCTTTTTCACTCTCCTCTTTCACCTTCATCAAGAGGCTCTTTAATTCCTCTTTGCTTTCTGTCATTAGAGTGGTGTCATCTGCATATCTGAGGTTATTGATATTTCTCCCTGCAATCTTGATATACAGACTGGGATAGAAGATCCATTTGGCATTTACTTGCTACTTAGCTTGACCCATCATTAAGTTGCTTATATTCAACAATTTTGACCCAGAGTAATGATATTTTCATAATGGTCCAACCTAACACTTTTCACACATACAGTTCTCCATTGTTAATGGTCAAAATACTGAGCCAGGAAACAGGAGTGTAAGAAATATATTACAGGAAGCTGAAATTGTTCCTTGCAGCTTTTCTTTAAAAATATGGGACTAGGAATCAGAGACTGGAGTTTTAGACCCATTTCTACTATTAATTTTCTGTAAGTTCTTAGAAAAGTAAATGCCCTTTGTTGGAAGCCAATTTTGTCATGCACAAAATAATGGGTTTTCCCATGTCTGCTATTCTAAAATTTCTGAACCCCATATTCCTAACTATACTGTAAGCTCTTTGAAAACATGGACTGTGTCCCCAGAGTATTGTCCAAACATTCCTTACATCAGAATCATGTAGGCACTTGACAGAAATGCAGAATTTTAGGCACTACCCCCAAGTTACTAAATAAAATTCTTCAAGTGTGCAACCTGTTTCCTTGCTTAAGCCTACAGAGAGCCATTGCATTTAGATCATGACTTAAACGAAGTATTGGTTAATAAACCACTGTTGATTTTTGAAGCTGCTTGGGTAGCCAACCATGTGATTTAATTGAATAATCCACTAAAGGTGGATAAAATAATGCAGCAAATGGATTTTATTCAACACACAGAAACATCATTAAGAATATATGAAAACAAGCAAACAAAAAGCAGCAGCTGTTAAGTATCAGAGCTACCAGCATATACATTTTTTTCCATTTATTTTTATTAGTTGGAGGCTAAATACTTTACAATATTGTAGTGGTTTTTGCCATACATTGACATGAATCAGCCATGGATTTACATGTGTTCCCCATCCTGAACTCCCCTCCCACCTCTCTCCCCATCCCATCCCTCCAGCATATACATTTTAATGTTGTACTGGTTTCTATATTTACAGCAAATACAAATATAATGCCAACACTAATATTCAGAGCCAGACTTTTAGTAGTTTTATCTCCTCCAAAGCATGAATTGTATTGGACATGGAAGAAAGTAAAGTCCCCCCAAAAGTTTTTAATATCTCTGTATTAAATACAAGCACTTGTCTCTGCTTTTCCAAGCAGGATGTCTTGGCATTCTCTTTAATATAGTTTTCAAAAGGCTCAATCATCTGGCTTGCAAAGCACCAACAGGATATAAGCAAACCAATATAAACAGGAGAGGTGACAACACTGAGGATGGAGACACAAAAAGAAAACAGCAGATCTAGAATAAACATAATGAATGCTCTTTATGATGATCAGAAAGTCACCATGAAGAAGGACTATTCTGTTCAAAATCCTTCTTTAGTATTATTAGATAACATGTAATATATCTTTTAGAGAACTTTATTCTCAGAGTTAAAATTAAAAAGCCTTTAACATTTGAAGAGGTTAAGATTCATTTATTTAGAACTTCCATCTTATTTAGAACATCTATCATGCCCAATGAAATCAGATACATGAGAAGTTAATAAGATAGAATGAGTCTTTTTTTTTTCTTCTACACTGGAATAAAGAGTAAAAAGGGCCTTGTGGGCTAAGTTTCTAAGGACATATTTGTCTAGTTCTATAGCCCTCAGCCCCAGAGATTATCGTTGAAAATGCTGATAGAAGATGGAAAGACTTAGAGTACACTAAGATAATTGAATACTACTCAGCCATAACAGCAATGAATGTCACTTAAACTGATGTGAATGAACCTAGAGCCTGTTATGCAAACTGAAGTAAGTCAGAAAGTGAAAAACAAATATTGTATACTAATGCATATATATAGAATCTGGAAAAATGGCCCAGATGAACCTATTTGCAAAGCAGAAATAGAGACACAGACATAGAGAATGGACTTGTGGACACAGGTGTTGAAGGGGAGGCTGGGATAAATTGGGAGATGGGGATTGGCACATATAATATACTACCACGCATCAAGGAGATAGCTAGTGGGAACCTGCTGTAAATCACAGCAAGCTCAGCTCAGTGCTCTGTGATGACCTGGAGGGGTGGGATGTGGGAAGAGTGGGAGGGAGATTCAAAAAGGTGAGGAGATATATATATATATATACACACCCACACACCCACCCACACACCCACCCACACACTTACGGCTGATTCATGTTGTTGTATGCAGAAACCAAGACAACACTGTAAAGCAATTATACTCCAATAAAGAATTAAATCAAAAAAAGAGGTGGTATGTATACACAGTGGAATATTACTGAGCCATAAAAAGAATAAAATATTGTCACTTGCAGCAATGTGAATGGATCTAGAGAATATCATACTAAGTACAATGAGTCAGAGAAAGACAACTATTATGTATCACTTATAAGTGGAATCTGAAAAATAAAATGAATCTCTATACACAAAAGAAACAAACTCACACAGACGGAAAACAAACTGAAGGTTACCAAAGGGGAAAGGGGTGGGGGAGGTATAAAAGACCATGGGATTAACAGGTACACAGTGACAAGAATTTATTGGTATATCACAGGGAACAATATTCAATATCTTGTAACAATCTATAATAGAAAATAATCTGAAAAAAAGAATATTCATATAACGGAATCACTTTGATCTATACCTAAAACTAACACAATATTGTAACTCAACCATACTTAAATTTAAAAAAAAAATTGACCAAAGTCAATAATTTATCACAGTCTTCTTTTGTTCTAGGAGTTAAGGGCACTTACCCGCCAATATCCTGCTTCACAAAGTCCCCAGGTTCTTGTCGTCTTGATTCCACTTGGCCAGTTGTTCCAGGGAGAATATTAATCAGGAAGAGAAGCCCAAGGCCAGCCATGTAGAACTGACTCATTTGTGTGATTATCATCTTCTTAGGCACCAACTTGGAGAGACCTGTGAGTTCCATATTCAGAGGAAGAGGAAAGGAATAGAAGACAAAGGGAAGGAGAAAGAAGAGATGAAAAAAGATTTTATTCAACTCAGAGCCATTTAATTTTCATAATATACAGTTACTAAATGCTTACTGTGACAGGTCTCCTCCAATTCACCAACGCCACCAAAATTCACTCCTGGCACACCCTTCTTTTGATTATACCAGAGCCCACCCAATAGAAGGTAGTGTAAAGACTGCTCAACATCACTCATTATCAGAGAAATGCAAATCAAAACCACAATGAGGTACCATTTCACGCCAGTCAGGATGGCTGCTATCTAAAAGTCTACAAGTAATAAATGCTGGAGAGGGTGTGGAGAAAAGGGAACCCTCTTACACTGTTGGTGGGAGTGCAAACTAGTACAGCCACTATGGAGAACAGTGTAGAGATTCCTTAAAAAACTGGAAATAGAACTGCCATATGACCCAGCAATCCCACTTCTGGGCATACACACCGAGGAAACCAGATCTGAAAGAGACACGTGCACCCCAATGTTCATCACAGCACTGTTTATAATAGCCAGGACATGGAAGCAACCTAGATGCCCATCAGCAGACGAATGGATGAGGAAGCTGTGGTACATATACACCATGGAATATTACTCAGCCATTAAAAAGAATTCATTTGAATCAGTTCTAATGAGATGGATGAAACTGGAGCTCATTATACAGAGTGAAGTAAGCCAGAAAGATAAACACCAATACAGTATACTAAAGCATTTATATGGAATTTAAAAGGATGGTAACAATAACCCTATATGCAAAACAGAAAAAGAGACACAGATGTATAGAACAGACTTTTGGACTCTGGGAGAAGGTGAGGGTGGGATGATCTGAGAGAATAGCATTGAAACAAGTATACTATCAAGGGTGAAACAGATCATCAGCCCAGGTTGGATGCATGAGACAAGTGCTCAGGGCTGGTGCACTGGGAAGACCCAGAGGGATGGGGTGGGGAGGGAGGTGGGAGGGGGATCGGGATGGGGAATACATGTAAATCCATGGCTGATTCATGTCAATGTATGACAAAAACCACTACAATATTGTAAAGTAATTAGCCTACAACTAATGAAAATAAATGAAAAAAAAATAAAGGGAAAAAAAAGACTCTGAATCAGTAATCAGAAGTCTTAGACTACAATTTCATCTTTTTCCCTGTCTTCCTCTGACTAGGTGAGTCACAGAACTTCTCTCAGCCTCAGTTACCTCTTATAATCCAAGATCCTAAAATAATCTCTCATCTTCACTTTATTTCCCTCCAATCCTGTTTCATTTCTTACTATCACAAATGTCTTTTCATGAGTATTTGTGCAATATTTGTAGAAAATCTTAGGATATTAAGACCTGGAATATCTTTATAGAATTTTTGGGATTGATTCTCATCTTGATATGGTTAGATGGTTTTCGAAAATATCAAAAGGCCTGGAGTAGAGGGACTGTTTCCTCCTCTGAATCAGATTGAGAAACTGCTGAATGATGAGACAAGATGTTTTCCCATAAAGTGATATTTGAGGGCACAGCCAGTCCAAAATAGGGCCACAACATAAAGAAGAAATCCAAGCCTAGTCTCCTGGTACAGAAGTCCCTCCATGGTCAGCAGATTATACTGATTATATGATTTAGAGTTGTCTATATGCAAGGCTGTTTTATGAACTCTGGCTTGGTGGAGGTTTACCCAGGACATGGGGTTAAGAAAACAGTGTAGAGGCACTTGCTTGTACCCCTATGGCCTTTTAGAATCTGAGACACTGACCACCTGAAGAAGACCTAATTCTGACCCAGCACCATACTCTTTTTTCATACTCATAGAGGTGGTTTAATTTTCAGAAGGCATAGGAGGATATGGAACATTTTTCCCAAGGAAAGCTTATACAAGAGACTAATATGTAAAACAGATACATGCTGAAGAACTATTCTGACTGATGAGAAGATGAAGAAAAAAAGTCTTTCTAAATTGATCCTCCCCCTCCTTGCCCCAAAGCAGCCACTAGGTTCTATATTGGAGCTTCCCTGGTGGCTCAGCTGGTAAAGAATCTTCTTGCAATGCAGGAGACCTGAGTTCGATCCCTAGGTTGGGAAGATCCCCTGGAGAAGGGATCGGGTACCCACTCCAGGATTCTGGCCTGGAGAATTCCATGGACAGAGGAGCCTGGCAGGCTACAGTCCACGGGATCACAAAGAGGAAGACATGACTGAGCAACTTTCACTCACTCACTCAGGTTCTGCTTTAGATTGTCTTCTTAAATCTGGTACAGGCATAGAATACTATGATATGCAAGACAGATTTCTGACATGGGAAAATGTCCACAGTATAGATAGAAATAGTCACAGTATTAAGTTGCATCATATAAATGTGCCAATATTTGACAATTTTTCTTTCATAAAACAGCAATTTCTAATGCTCAACCTAATAAGTGCTGTGATGATCATGATTCATGAGCTGTATAAGAGTTGATGGCTATTTTACAAAAATCAACAAAAACAGTACAATTAAGAAAACCATAGCATATGAGGAAGAAAATATGGTGCATAAAGAGACAACTCTAAGGTAAGAGAAACACCTGTAGTATGGGCAATAACTCTGACATATGTTCAAACTTTCATAGAACCCAAAGTTTGAAAATCACATGAGAAAGGTTAATGCTCAGATAATCATGATTGATAAATACTCTACAGGAAGAAAGAGAGTTGGTACAGGATATGAAGTCCAAATTGTAGAAATCATCCACGGAATATAGGACAGAACTATGATGCATACTCAAAAAACATGAGTATCTGAGTAACAATCCTGGATTTTGGAGAAGGTGGCCATGCTGCATGAGCAGAGATACCAGTAGTGTGTGCTCATTTATGCTATTCTAGTATATAACTATGGTTTGTGTTCAAATGATCATGGTAAACAAGCTGCAAACCTTCACACTAAGCATAGATGCCAATGACACAGAAGCAAATGCCCATGATTTGGAAGGAGAAAACTATGATGCATAAGAAGACAAAAATGTTATATGAACTCATGACTAAGATATTAATACATGTTTAAATAACCATTATGCATGAAAAGACATTCATAGCATATAAAAGAGGTTGGGCATAATATGTGCCCTCCAACTACCATGATACTTGTTAGCAAACAAATTATTATAATTCATGTGAACATTTATGATATAAAACCATTTGGCCATGGTATATGTCAGAAAACCATAATAAGCCTAGTAAACACTGACCAAAAGAAGATGCCCTTGGTACATATTTAATTAAGACATTGTATGTGATCAAAAGAATGCCACTAGAGTGCTGTACAAAAATGTGAATATACTTAGTAACATTAAACTGTACAGTTAAAATAGTTGATTGTTTATGTGTTTTTAACCAGAATTAATTTTTTAATTAAAAACAACATGCCACTGGAATAGGTAGCTTTAGCAAGATGGCACATATCTGTAAAACAGGATCCAACTCTGATACGTGTACAGAGAAATATGGCACATTAGCCATTATTACCATTAAATGAACATAAATCCATGTACATGATCATGTACATGTAAATGATGTAAATCCATGTAAATGATCAAGCTCAGATGGTCATCAAACAAGTGCAGATAAGGATAGTAGAAGGCTAGATGTTTAAAATTCTTCTGCCAAGCTTGCGGAATTTTCAAGTGACCACAGTGCATAAACTGAAAACCATGACACTTAAAGAAAGACCCTTCAAACATAATAAAACATCTATGAAGCTAGAGACACCTATGGTATATACTTAAACAACCATGATGAATGTGAAGAAGCATTTGGTATGTTAGTCCTTAACTGTGACATGTGCACACACAATGTGTGTATCATGGCAACCATGATACAGGAATTAAGTGACATGGTTTAGGAGTAGATGATCATGCTAGACTGCCACGATGTAGGAGGAGAAGCCATGGGCCAAGAGTAGGCAGACATGCTGAACTTTTTTTCACTGGGGAGGGGAGGTTAAAATATAGATGCAAGTGGTCACAATGAAGAATAGATATCTTTCAAGTAATGATGACCACATTACTTGAAAAATGAATAAATTATTATTTATAACATGTGAACAAACAAATATAATTCACATATCCATGGTGAATACACTGAAAATTATAGAAAGGGAACATCATATAGTGACATGAATATTCCAACAACTATGTTGCAAGCTCATGCTCAGTCACTTAGTCATGTCCAACTCTTTGCAAGTCCATGGGATTTTCCCAGCAAGAATACTTGAGTGGGTCACCATTTCCTTCTCCAATGTTGAGTAGAATGTAAAACCTAATAATAGTTGTTTGAAATTCGTATAAAGCCAGTCCACATTGCAAAAGTAGACAACCACGGTGCATGCTCAAATAAGTACAGCAAATTAAACACCAATGACATATGAACTTAAAACCATGGCCACAATGGCAGATCCCTTTGGTAGGTGCAGACTGGCTATAATACAAGAAGCAACAACTCTTGTGCAGGTTCAGATAAAGATAATCTTGGTGTCAGAATGTATTATCCATGGTACAGGAACACACAAACACAACACATGCCCAAGCCACCATAACATGGCACTGCACAGCCAAAATTTAGCAGATGGTTATTCAACCAATTCACTCTTCTCCAGAGATAAAGGAAGTTACAAGGAACTAATGAGAGGGAAATCTCCATTAGCTGATAACTTACAAATTAATATCTCCATCCTACAACTCTCTGTAACGCATATCTGCACTTTGCTGTCCGAGAAGCATCTTAAACCTAACACGTTAATATCTGAGGTTCAGATATCCACCTACACACACACACACACACACACACACACACACAGACCTTGATCACCTGTCATCTTTCTCATCACATGTAATGATAACTCCACCTTTCCATTTGTTCAGAGTTAACACTCTGATGTTATTCTTGAGTCCACTTTTGCTCTCACACCCACACTCAATCCATAAAC